CCAGGACGTGAGGGAAGAGAAGACAAAGAGCCCAGAGCCAGCATCCCAAGAAAAGAGCAGCCCACTAACTTTTCTTCCTGAGGCCCTTGATTGGAGTCTGGATTCTCCAGGGACAACTCCCGTACAATTCTTCCAGGGCTTCCCTGGGGGGCTGGATCCTGAAGGATACAACTGAGACCAGCCACAAACACCTGGAATTTTTTATTCCAAAAGATCCCTGAGCTGATCTCCACCCCCCAAATGGTCCCAGCTGACCCCAGAACTGCCCTGAGACTCTGAATTTTATACGCTTGACAGATTTGCCTGAGCCCCAGCTGAGCTCTGTTTCCACAATGGGGGGGGGGGCCTGCAGATTTGCTGTCAGGACGTTTCCTGCCCTCTCCCAAATTGCGGCAGGAGATGGTTGGCACTCTGGAAGCCCCCCGCCCCTCCCCCCACTGCACTCCCCAGCCAGGCAGCTGAAAGCGTTCACGGTTACTTTTGGCAGGTCTATTGATTTGGTTGGAGATCAATATTCCCTTCTCAAGTCCCTTCCCCCACCAAGAAAAATTGCTCTGTCAATCTTCCTCCAATCTGGGGTGTGTGGTGGGGGGGGGGAAGGCCTCCTCCTTAGGAAGAAAGCCTAAGAAAGTTGTGATTGTTTTTTCTAATAAATACATAAGGCACCACAGACTGGAAGGAATAGATCCTGGTGGATTTTTTTGTTTGTTTTGCAGGACTAGGAAATTGTGGCAAGTTACCTAGGAAAGTCAAAATAAAACAGCTGAGCCGCCTAAAGATGGGGGAACGAGTGGATTTTCTTAGAGATGTGGCTTCATCGGCACAATATTTTTTTTCTTTTTTCTTAATTAGTTTTATTCATTTATAACATAAAATGTGAAAATGCAAAAGCAAATAGTAGGGGACAACAGCAGAAAAGGGAAAACAAACAAGGTATGAAGAAGGGGCGGGGGAAGAAACAAAAGGCACTAACTTCCAACTCTCTCTATTGCAGTAAATTGAGACATTAAAATCAAATCTGAACTTTTTACATTTCTATACTAATATGCACTATCCCAGGGGTAGTCAACCTTGGCTCTTTTATGACTCGTGGACTTCAACTCCCAGAATTCCTGAGCCGGCATGGCTCAGCTTGGAAACCTCTCCTTTTCCCCTCAGCATGGCTGGCTCAGGAATTCTGGGAGTTGACGTCCACGAGTCATAAAAGAGCCACGGTTGCCTACCCCTGGCCTAGGAGACCAACGTCTTAATTTCCATCACTCTAACCCAGGGCTAGGCAACCTTGGCTCTTTTATGACTCGAGGACTTCAACTCCCAGAATTCCTGAGCCAGCATGGGGGAAACTTTGGCCACTTCATGACTCGTGGACTTCAACTCCCAGAATTCCTGAGCCAGCCTGCCTCAGCTTGGAAACCTCTCCCTTTCTCCTCAGCATGGCTGGCTCAGGAATTCTGGGAGTTGAAGTCCACGAGTCCTAAAAGAGCCAAGGTTGCCTACCCCTGGTCAAGGCCTGGACCAGTCAGACAGAGAGGCCTCCTTCATCTCACAGTGCCTGATGCTTTTTACAGGGCAACCCTTTGTTCTCAAGCCACGGATTTCCACGTGCAACACCATTCCTGCCTTGACCTCTCAGGTCACTCCGGAAAGGAGGCCCCAAGTGCCTCACATAAAAGGAGAGCCTCCCTCCGCAGGAGACACAGGCCATGAGATCTGCCTGCTTGAGAAGGAAATCAATCCCCGGCTGTCAGAAGGCCCATTGAGCGGCTTCCAGCCTGCCTGGGAACCTGGAGCGTTTCAGCAGAGGGCACTCCAGACTGCAAGATCTGGTCTCGCCAAATCCCAGGCACATTTACTGGCGGCATTTGGGAAGCTTCGTGATGCGGGGCCTCGTAACTCACTGGAGTTTGTGCTGATGTTATACCGGGTGCATATAAATTTAAAGAAAACGCAGGCAGCTGTGCCTAATTCAATGCAGGGCGATTTTACCCAGGTTCCTCTTTATCATCAAAAGCCTTCCTTTCGTCTTCATTAGTGTTAAAATCCGAACCGCCCCTGGGCAAAAACTGCTTATTCCAGCCTCTTTCTGGGCAGGTCATCCTTCAAACTCCATTTGAATTCGGACTTCAGATACTTTGTCCCATCAGCAGTTCCCCACCCGCCCGCTCCTCCCTTGAGATTAATAAAAACGTTTCAACATTTGTCCTGTCTTGTAAGCAGTTTCCTTTTGTACTTGAAAGAGACTGGCCTTAAATTAATGGGCCCGAGTCCCTATAAATCTGCACTTTTTGCTCACAGTTGTGAGAAGGTGAAATGATTTACCCGCTTAAGCAGTAGGAAAGGAGCATTAGCAGGAGCATGCAAACGAAACACAAACACGGAGAGTTTGGGCCCTCAGCAGGATGGGCTGCTAGTCCCTAGCAAGGGTTGCGGAGGGTGGAGGATCTGTCTGGCTGGTTAGCTGCTTGCTTTGTGTTCATTGGGGGGGGATGAGCATATATATGGCAAGGAACACCCCCCCCTCGAAATGACTGGCTCCCCCACTAGGTCTGTTCTGGCAGAGGTTCTGAAGAATCAGTCCACGTCCCATCCCAACCCAGGAATCTGCAAAGACGTCCGACCCACCCCGACGGGCAGCCTGTCAGATTTATGGTGACGGGTTAAAAATAAAACAATAGTCACATTTCACAATGACGTTGCTGCTGCACGAACACGGAGTGATCCAGCCCCAGCCGCTCCCTTTGGTGCCTCCCTTTCTCTCTCAACCCAAAGGGGAAACATTGGAGGAGGAAGACGAAGCTGCCTCGAGCGCTGGGAGGAAAGCGGGATATAAGTTTGAGTAAATAAATAACAAGTATCTCTCAACTAGCTCTTACGCAGGACAAGTTGGTTTTTGCACACGTGATTGGACTGAATCACGCAGACTTTTGAGGCCAAAAATATTTTGCAGCCAGGCATTAAGTTATTCTGCTTTCAAGACCTTTCTTGCTTTCTGCTATTTATTTTTGAATTTTGAATCCCTGCTCACACTCGCTCATGCCTTAGCTCCCTCCTGTCTTGACTACTGCAAGATGCTCTACGTGGGGCTGCCCTTGAAAAGTATCTAGAAGCTTCTATTAGTTTCAAAACGTGGCGGCCCCTGTGACTTTGTGCAGGCCTCCATGTGCACGTGTCATCTCTCCTGTGGGAGCTGCGTTGGCTGCTCATTTGCTTTCGGGTCAGTTCAAGGTGCTGGTTGTCACTTGTAGAGCCCTGAGTGGCTCAGGGCCAGGTCATTTGAAGTACCCTCTTTCCCTGGTCTGAACTACCCAACCCGCCACCAGAGGGGGGAGGCAGGAAACGCTATAGGCGTTTCATAGCTTCTCTTAGGAACAATATTAGTCCAGATAGAAGGATAGTGTTAGGAAAGAAATTTAGGGTGGGTGGGTGGGCTGAGGGGCCATATCTTTGGGGGAATTCAGATCCAGAAGGCTCTTCCTGTGGTTTCCCGTGGCAGGACCCTGACCCAGGAGCCCATGTTTCTTGCTCTCTCTTCATGACGTTGTCTTGTCTCATCCCCAACCCATGCCCATGGGGGGGGGGCAGTGTCTAATGCCATCCTTTTGAAGTTGATGCTTGATTTTCCTAACTGAGTTCAGGGACTGGGATCAGCCGAGCCCCTTCAGTCCCCCAAGGCTACTGTGGGTCCTCTTCTCTGAGGCTGCTTTTGCTATAAAAGACACCAGACAGTCGGCTTCCTGCAGCCTGGGGCTAGGTGGCTTGGGCTGGGCGCTCTCTTAGAGAGAGACAGAAGCATCCTACTGGGCTGTGTGTGTTTGTATGTGTTGATGCTTCTGTCGTTTTCTACTGCTTCAGGTGGCAGAAATTTCATGGTGCTAGTTTTTTACTATAATTTCCCAAGACACACACAGAAGTGCTAAAATTGTTGTCCTATTTATCAGCACAGCCGCTGGGCCAGCTTCCTGCAACCACTATTGTCCAGAGAAGGAGGGCAGCTCAACAACCCCTTGCCAGAGAGTGCTTCATGCGGCCAGCTGCACGGGGTCAATCTTCCGTTGCACACTGTGGATGAGTGCTGCAGCGCACCCATTTCTCCTGGCAAACAGCCAGCTGCTTCTAAGGGACTCTTTACCCACCCATTTTGCAGCATTATTTGGCAATGAAGCTCACTTGCTGTCCCTTTCACCTGGTGCTCTCCCCCCGGTTGTGCCTGTCCCCCCCAAATGTTTTGACATTCAGGTTAGCGCTCTTTCAGAAAATTACTCCATCGGTGCTAGAAGTTACCTGGCCCGGGTGGCAGAAGACAGACTGCATTGAGAGCAGTGGGAAAAGGCTCCCTCGTGCTTCTCCAACACCTTGCAGGGTGGGCATCCAGGCAAGTAGTAAATCTGCTATTCTAAGCATTCCCCCCTCCCCATTTATAGACTGGCTGCTGGCTGGCCTCCCCCTGGGAGGTGATGCCAGGAAGAGCAGTGAAGCCGAGAGGTCATCCAGCCCTCCCCTTGGCGGGCACCTTTTGCCAGCCACGGACAGGGTTTAAGCCCCATCAGCCCCCCCCCCACTCCCAGGCCCCTTTCCAGCCGTGCCCCGAGGACCAGTCTGGAGTAGGGATGCAGGTCCCAGACTGGGAGCAGGGAGATGGGGAGCCCCCCCCCCGCCCACCTGGAGGGGACAATCGAGCGGGCAGCACTTTGGACAGCGCCACGAGTCAAAGCAAACATTTAAAAGCAGGGCAAGAAGCGAAGGGCGGCTCGCTTCTGCTTCAGAGGACCTTCCCCCCCCCCACCTTCTCTTGCCGCCGCCGCCGCCGCCTCCTCCAATCCCGGGAGGGCGGCTACCTCGCCGGAGCAGCCTTCCAGCCGCCGCCCACCGGAGCCCCGCCTCCATCTCGCCCGCCCGGCTTGCAGGATACGGGGCGAGCCGAGCCGAGCCGAGCCGAGCCCGCAGCCCTCTTTCTCCCCCCCGCGCAGGCAGCAGCAGCCGCCGCCGCCCCGGGACGAGCCGCGCCCTTCTCCCCGCCGCCCCCTGCCGGGTGCCGGACTGCCCGCTCGCCCTTTCCCGGGAAGCGAAGGGAAAGACGCTCTGCACGTGCTCAGAGACCCGGCTCCCCTTGGTTCCTCCTCGAATCACGTGCGCAGGTTGCGCCCGGAAGTCCGTCTTGTGGAGTTGGGGCATTTTCTCCAGGGCGGCGCTCCGGACGCTCCTCGGGAAGGCAGCCCGCCGCCCCGGACCTGCCGCCCGCCAGAGGGCCGGGGAAGACTCGGGCAGAGACCGCGGCGGCCGTTGAGCATGTGCAAAGTACTTTGAGCCCCAGGCCGGCCCTCTTCTCCGCGCGCCGGCCTCGGGCGATGAAGGGGCAGGACTTCCCGGGCGGGAGGCGTGCCTCGCTCTGCGGCTCCAGCCCCGGCACCTTTCGGCCGAGCCTCCCCCGCCAGGCGGCCGCCTTCCTCCGCTGAGCGGCCCCGCGCGACCAGGGGCGGCCCCGCGCAGCCTCGCCGGCCCGGGAGAGCGGCAGCGCGGGGGCCTGCGGCACCGCGGACGGAGCAGCCGCGCCGGGCGTGGCAGGGCGGGCAGGCGGGGCGGCGGCGGCGCTCCGGTCGCTCCGTCCTCTCCGCCTCCCGCGCCGGAGCCAGTACCATGCTCCCCGCTGCGTCGGGCGCAGCCAGCCCCGAATCGGACGCGCCCTCGCCGCCGCCGCCGCCGCCGCGCCCAGCCGCCGGGCGCCCCGTCTTCGCCGGAGGTCCAGCCGGAGCCTGAGCCGGGCACGCTCGGCCGCGCCTCGCCCGCCGCCGCCCGCCCGCCCAGGATGCTGACCGGCTGCCTCGCCCCGCGCCCGCTGCTGGCCCGCTCCTGCCCCGCCGCCGCCGCCGCCGCCGTCCTGCTGGGAGTCCTCTGGCTGCACGCCTGCCGCGGGATGCCCCATGTCATCCGCATCGGTGAGTCGGGCGGGGGCGGGCAGGGGCGGTGCCCGGGGGGGGGGAGAGCGGCGGGAGCCCCGCGGTGGCGTCGTGCGCTGGGAAGGCCGGCGCCGCCCCGGCCAGCGGCGGGACTCCCCGCGTGCCCTTGACGGGGAGGGCAGAGCCGGCCTGGGGCGCGGAGCGGAGTTTGGCGGGGCGGCCGGCGGGGTCGGCGGCAAATGCTGAAGGGCTGCGCCGGTCCGCGATCCCTCCTAGCGGCGTCGGGGGTGATGGAGGGAGCCGGTGCCCCCGTCCCCTTCCTCCGACGGAGAAACTAGCCGAGGGGACGTCTTCGGAGGCGCTGGGGGGCGGGAAAGTGACCGGGAAAGTCGGGACTGGCCGGGCGGCTGCATTGCAGCCTCCTCCGCCTCCCTGCTCTGCTCCTAAGCCCCGCGGCCGCGGAGTTCCTGGCGTGGCCGAGCTGTGAGGGCTGGGCTGGGGGGGGGGGCCGCGGGCCGAAGGGCAGCCTGGCGCCAACTCTGCGACGGAGAGGCCGGGAAAGTCCGGAGAGCCGCAGAGCCCTCCGCCCCCCCCCCCGGCAAAGGCGGCCCCCGGCCAAGGAGGCGCCCGGCTCGCCTTTGGGCTCTGCGGGGTCGGGGAACTCCACAGCCTCCAGCCTGGGGGGGCTGAGAGAGTCTCCCTCGCTCCCGGACCAAACTGCCGGGGTCCGAGCGTTCGCCTTCGGGGCGGAAGACCCCGCAGGGGCGGCCTTGCTCTTCCTCGCGGTCGAGGGAGGCGCTGGGCCTCGACTGGCCGGCAGAGCAGCCGGGCCCCCCCCGTCCCCCCCGAAGGCAATGGCGACCCTGGCCTTTCCTCCCCGGGCGGCCTTCTCGGCCCAGGTGTGTCCGGGAGCCCGCCCTGCCTTGCGCCCCGTCCTCCGCGGAGTCCGCCAGGCTCGCCATTCCGCCGCTTGCTCAGCCGCGCCTCCGAGCAGCCTCCCCAAATCCAGCAGCCCTCCAAGGCAGCCTGGCCGTCGCCCGGGCGCGGACGGAGCCGCAGTGACCTTCCTTGGCTCTGCCGTGGCGCCCAGGCCTTTGGCCCGGCGCCCTTCGCGTGGGGCACCAGCCGGGAGCCGGCGGAGGGGCGGGGAGGCCGTGTGGGCCGGCCCCGCCGGGATTTCAGGCTGGGCTGGGGGGACATCAAGCCGCTCTCCGGCTGGGCCGGTTCTTCTCCCATTCCAAGGGCTTTAGGCAAAGGGATGCTCCTTCACGCCGAATGGATAGGAGCCTTTATTTTAAAAAGTTGAGCCAGTTGAGAAAACATTTATTGTTTTTTTGGGCGGGGGGCTGGATGTTTGCTCTGTGTGGGTGGGGGGGGGAGGCTTAGGGTTTTTTCTTCTCCCTTCTGTTCAGTCATGCCCAGTTTTCTGGGATTGCCTGGACCAAACCCCTGCAGTTTTCTTAGCAAGGTTTTTCCGAAAAGGGTGCCGTTGCCTCCTTCCTAGGACTAGGAGAAAGTGCCTGGCCCAAGGTCACCCAGAAAGAGTGACCTGAGGCAGAACTAGACCTCAGGGTGGGATCTGAGGGGTCTTTTTAGGAAAGGAAGTTGCCCCTCCTTTTGGGGACTTGATCTCACCTGGTCATAGTTTGGGCTGGAATTTGGGCCAATGAAAGAAAAAATGGATCCTTTGGGCCTCCAGAGGTTTGGCACTCTGCTCAGGTGGATCACTTTCAGGTGCTTCTGCAGGTGTGGCCATTGCAGACTTTCAGGTGTGCCCCAGAGAGCTTCACACATATGGGACAAAGATTCAGTCATTGCCATGTTCCAGCTCCGTCTTGGTAGTGGTGCTGGGTTCAAGGAGCTGATACTCCAGTGTTTTTTTTTAAATGTTAGTTAAAAGAGCTCAGAATCCTTTTCCCCGTCAAAATGCAGAATGAAAAGGAAACTCAAGAATGACAGGAGAATTTGTAGTAACTGCAGCAGTTTCAGGTTTACATCAAAGACGACCCATCTTTCTGACGCTTTTCTGTCACCTTTCCTAAGAAATGAAGAATTTCTTCTATCCTGTGTTCTTAATGTGTTCCCTTCTTTCACACGGGCATTTCAAAATAAAAGGGTCGTAAAAAACCAAGCAGCTGGTTGGATTTTGATTGAACTGCCTAATAAATGGCTATATGAGCTTTGATTCTGGGGAAAACACTGTAGAGGTGTCAGTGTTTGTGGATTTTTAGTGGTTGTTAAATTATTATTTTTCTTTTCTCCTGCAAGACAAAACATCTCTCTATTTTTCAGTTCTGTTTCTAAGGAATCTTGTTCTTTGTGACTAAATCAACTCAGATGTTTTTATTTTTAGGTTTTCTTGTAGAATGTAACATTGAGCATAATCCTTTTTAAGCGCCATTTGTAATGTCTGGTGGAGAAAATGTAATTGCTGTCACGGGAATGGAGACGTAGAATCCACACATGGCGGAGTGGAATAACCTAATTGACTTAAGTGCTATTAGTTGGTGTCACTGAGGAAGCTTCTTGCATTTTGTGAGCGCCTTGGAAATCACCCTGTCTGGTTCTTTAGGGGAGTATAAAGCCTCTCGCTCACTTGGTCAGGACCCTGAAGAGAATTTCTCGCCTTCTCTTCTTCTTCCCTCCAACTTCAGCGCCTGCCTTCCGAGAGCAGCACAAAAGGGGCCGTTTTTTGCACAACTGTCTGCCTCCTTGCACCCCTCCACCCCAGAAACCATCAGAAGAAGGCAAAACTCTTGCAAATGGAAATAGCAAGACCCTTTTCAAATTATATTAAGCCTTGAAATGTCACATTTGATATTTTGATAGCTGAGGCAAATAATTAAACAGATGGACGCTTCAGCTGAAATTCTGCCTTGTTAAAATGGGTCAGATACTTGTGATTGGGGAAGGGAAGAAAGCCTTATCTTGGATCCAGGCAGAACCGTAACCTTGGCAAGGGGCGTGTCACAGCACCAGCAGGCCCCCCCTTGTGTTTGCCCACCACGGCGTCTCCACGTTTCTCCGCATTGTGGTTCAGATGGGAGTGGGAAGTGGGTCTGGAGCCTGGCCAGGAGCTCTTGGGGGGGGGGGGCTCAACCTTCCCCCCCCCTTCTCCTCTGGCAGGGCTGACTCGGGCTGTCGCCTCTTGCAGGGAAGGCATCTGCCGCTGTGGCGTCTCCTGTGGCTGCAGCCTCCCCAAAAGACGGGATTGTGCGCGGGGCATCTGCAGCATCTGGAAAAGGCGCCCCAGTGGTGTTTTTGAAACATTCAGGGTGAAAGAAGAGACGAGGCAGGCTGAGAAAGAGATTGTCCTGCCTGTTGTTGGGATAATGCACCGGGCAGGCGGAAGAGAGGCGCCTTGGTGTTTGTGGAAATAAAATGCCTCATTTATTATTGATGTGAACGTGGTCAATTTCAATTAATATTTCCTTGAAAATGGGCTGATTATTTTCAGGATTCGCCCCCCCCCCCCGTGTTTGGAGGATTTGATTGCTGTCTCTTGTTGTTTCCTTGAATTTTTCCTTGATAATGATTTCTCTGTTGAAAACCTTAGTTTTTTTAATACTGTTTTAATAACATCCACTATTAAAAGAAAAAAAAAAGGCGCACAGGCTAAAATAGTGATTCAGAACTCACGGAAATTCAGCTTTTAAGCGGAAAGATCAGAGGAAAATGAGCCAGGAGGCCAATGGTGTCTGTGAACCTCTGAAATCCACAGCACAGGAATGTCGGCTCTGCATTTTGTGGGGTCAAGGCAGCTATCTGAAAGGGGTCACATCTGGACTGGCAAAAAGGACTCAACCAGCTCCCTTTGTTTTTCGTGCAGTGTTGAATTCAGCACTGTGAAATTTGTCCCGCTACAAAACCTGGGTCAGTGCCTTGAAAAACAATGACTTGGCTTCCATTCGGTGGAAGCGTAATTGAAAATCAATATTATTGAAGTCAAGCTGGCGTGGAAATGTTTGCAAAAGATCGGGGTGGCCAGGATAATTCTCTGGGATGGCAGCTGCACTTCGCAGCCAAACTAGCCAGACTGGAAACGGAACCGGCCTCGGCCTCTCCTCTTTCAAGGCAGCGCTTTGGTGTCTCCCGGCCGCTGCTGGCAAAAGCCCCTGCTCTGCCTGCCGTCTCAGGAAGGGCAAAGTGGGGAAAGAGAGGCCTGGCCGGTGTGCGCGTGTGCGTGCGCGTGCGTGTGTGTGTGTGTGTGTGTGTGTGTGTGTCCATTGATGTGTGAGCCTGAAGAGAGTTGGCGGTCACCCTCCGACCTGCCCTTTCCCCTCACTGCACCAGGCAACCAGCTTGAGACAAGGAACTCAGCCTCTTTCCCCCCCCCCCACGGCCCCCTCCAGGCCTGGAACAGATCATCTAGATTAGGAAACGTTTGTACCTTGAGGGGCTGCCCTTCCTAGCTCCAAATGCTTCCCAAAGATCTTTTGAATCCCAGCGCAGAGAAGGCAGCCAACAGAAGGACAGGTGTTGCGTTCTGGCGAGTTGAACAAGGGGAGATGCTGTGATTTATTTATTTCAACTGTTGGAAGGATGACAGTGTTGGAAAAGAGATTCTTTGTCTATGTGGGAGGGGGGCTAAAATTCCCTAATATTTTAAAGGGTGAAATAAATGTAGACGTCCCACGGAGTTTTCATCCACGAGGAAGAAACTAGGGAGAAGATTCTGCGGTGCTTAGTCTGTCGAAATGAAAGGAGCCATCTTTCTTTTGTACCTGCCAATATTTAGATGCATCGCCTGGATGCCAGTGATAATCCTGAGGCAAGAGAGTCTGATTTTGGTGAGCCGCTAAATTAAAGCAAATCTGCAAATGAATCCACAAAGGCCTTTTCACAATTCTTACCCCCTCCCTGGTATGAACACAAAGCTGATGGGGTTCATAGCAATAATGAACTGGGTTCTCATTTTGCACACATCCCTTATGCATAAAACAACAACCCAGGAGAACCTGGAAAATTCATGCAGAGTCCTGGTCACTGTTGACATTCTGACTCTTTTGTGGGGCTACAAATTTGGAGGAAAGTCCTGG